GGGTGGGGAGGGACGGATACACACGGGTACCTGGGCTCCTAGGGTGCCTCTCAGGGCTTTGGTGGGGATGGGGCTGGAGGAGTGGGTGGGTGGGGGTCTCCCAGAGTTCCGTGGATGGCGGGTGACACGGTGGTTCAAGTTCTTGACATGTCCGCCAAGGAGTGGAGGGAAGGCCTTCCATTGAGCAGATGGGCTTGGGGGCCCCAAGGTGTAGCCCCAGCTTGGTGGAGATTGGGGCACCCCTCCCCTCCCTCTTGGCTCCTCCGGGCCCAGGAGAGAGGAGCTCATTCAAGGTTGCTTAGGAAGGGGGCCAGGTGTGGGAGATTCCTGGAGGGATGACTCCCCAGTCCCATGCCCCAAGAGCGGGCCCGCAGTCCTCATGCCCTTGGGCTGCAGGCCCCTGACTAAAACCTGAACCTTGTATTCTAGCCCCACACTGACCTCTGACCCCAGCACTGGACTTGACTGCCACCAGAGCCCCCAGCCCTACACTGACTTGCCTATTCAGCCCAGCCAGGCCCAGCCAGACCCAGTGGCCTCCAGAATGCCTTGAAGGTGCAGTTGGCTCTCTTGTCACCTGTCCCGTTCCTGCCCCAGTCCTAACCAGCTGCTCGCTCACGATGACGGGTGCCGTGTGAGGTTAAAGCTGGGGGGCGGTGTGGGACCCCTGGCATGAAGGCTGTCCTCTGGCAGCTCTTCCCATGCCCGCCAGAGCTGGAGGGCAGTACCCGACAGGTGCCCGGGCTTAGAGGCGAGGTGATGTGGGACACACCCTGTCCGCTCGCCCACGCACCCTGCCCGGGCCGGCCCCTGCGCATGTGTTCACACGCCGCAGTCCCGGGAAGGCACGTCCTGGGAAGGCACGGGCCCTGGGGCCTGGTGCCAGCTCCGTCCTAGCTCCCAGAAGGGCACCCGTTGCCCTCTGCCCTTGCAGGATGTCCTCTGGGAGCTCCTTCGAGACCCCAACTGGCAGGCCTCGTCTGTGGGCCCAGAGGGGGCCCTAAAATAGCTGCCGGCCTAGCCCAGGGCTGGCACGCGGAGCACATGCGTGACAGGGCGTGTCCAGGGGGGTCGGGCCTGTCTGTGCTAGCCCGGCCTCCAAGTCTCTGCAGACCCTTGCTCACTGGAGAGAAATCTCGGAGGCGGATGCTCTAGGGGTCCTCCCAGGGCCCCCGTACCAACCTGTGCCTGTTGTAAGCGGAGGCCAGATGTTCTGCGCTGGCCGCAGCTGCTGAGCAGCCCCTGTCGCTACTGCAGTCCCAGGGTAACTGGCATCATGGTCCGGGGGGGGTGTAAGTGGGGTGACCTGCTTCCTATGGGCCCAGGTGGCACTTGGATATACCTTAAAGCATTTTTTCAGAGTGTGCCCTTCACCTTGGGAAGCTGAGCGGAGGGGCTCTGTTTTCGGTGAAGAATGCCGCTGGGAACGCTGGGTGGTCGCAAAAAGACACCTTCCTGCCCCTCGCTGGGCTGTCTGGCCAGCCCTTTTCCACTCTGGATACGCTTTCTGCCAGGAGCAGACCTGGCTTTCCTTTAGATTTGCTGCATGACCTTGGGCCCGGCCCTGAATTCCTCTGGGCCTCGGTTTCTCCGTCTGTAAATGGGGAGCATCAGAAAACAAGCGGAAGAGAGTGCATTTCCCCTCCTTGTCGCGGGCGCTCGCCTTCAGATCCCTTTTGGGGCACCTTGGCCACCTTCCCTCCTGCCATCAGGTGTCCTGGGTGGACAAGGAGATGTGTTGGAAAAGGCTGGTCACCTGGAGAGGTCGTACACGGAGGGCAGCGGGCGTAGGCGTGTGGGAATCCTTGGGCAGAGAAGGACGCCGCCATGCTGGGCACGGCTGAGTCATGCTCCAGCAGCGCCTTGCCCCAGGGTGCTGGAGCTGGCGCCACCCTGGGTGTGGTCACTGAGCTGTGGCCCTGGGCAGAGCAGGCCTGGGTGGTCTGGGATGGGGGGCCTGGGTGGTGAGCGGCCAGGAAGCTGACTTCTGAGACTTGAAGACCTTTGGCCTTCCCCTGGCCTGGGTCTGGCATCACCATCCAGGACTGTGGTCACCCACGCCCTTAGAATGCCTTGAGGATCCTGGGGACCCCTCAGCCTTGGGCCTGGGAGTTTTGGGGGTGCTGAGGAAGGAGGACAAGGCCCAGAAGCCCGTGATTCGCCTCGAGGCTGGCGGCCCCCCTGCAAAAGTCAGGCCAGGGCTACAATGGGGACGTATGGGGACAAGGCAAGAGGTGAACATGGCAATAGGGTGTGCCCCTCAGTTAAGGGCTCTCGGTGTGGATGTTGGGGGGGGGGTCCTGGGAATTCCGTGACTGATCCTAGGGGGATTGAAGTGTAAGGCAGGGGTTGGAGTGTGGTGTGGTGTGGCTGGGCACAGTGGGGGCTGGGATGTGACTTGCACGGTTCCCCTATTTATAACAAGTGATTCAGTCCTCACTTACTCACCCCTTCCTGGGCCTGCCCCCTCCCCCCGGCCCTGGGTGGGCAGTGGGGGCCCACCCACTTGCCACCGTCCTGCCTGCCTCCACCCAGGTGCCAGCCTCTGAGCGTCGCCCATCGGGATGGTTGTTACGGTTGCTGTGTTGGGATCAGGGTAATGGATGGGGGGCTGGTGGTCAGGCGGCACTTGGCCGAGCAGCCCAGGTTGGCGGCTGGCTCTGGGCCCGGCCCAGGGAGCCTCTGCGGAGAGTCTAGGCCCATTAGGCAAAGCGTTAGTGACAGGCTGGGAGGGCGGGCGGTGGCGGGCAGGGCGGGGCCTGCAGCCCTTGGTATTTTCCGATCCCAGCTGCTCCGAGAGGGTGGAAAGTATTTGGGGACCAGGCTTGGGGGCGGTGGTGGTGGCGCCCCCGGCGGAAGCTGCCCCTGATTCATTCTTGGAGCATGGGGTTGGGGGGTGGTGACAGTAAGCCTGCCTGCTTGTGTCTCGTGCCTCCACGCCCTGTACTCAGGCATACATACATACATCCGTGCGGCTTGGGGCCTGCTCTGCTCCTCCGGCCCAGGGGCCCATCTTCCCCCCACGCCTCCAGCCGCCAAGGACTTGGCCCTCCCTGGGCACCCATCTCCCATGAGCCTGAGAGGCACACCTTTGGTAACAGGGGTCCCGGCTCCCGGGCACCTGCACGGCAGCGCCCCATCCATGAGAGACCCAGGCCTTTTGTGCCTTTGGGGATGGGGAGTGGCCTTGGCCCCGGCCTGGGGCTCTGTGCAGGGGAAACCCCACAGGAAACGGGCCTGGCCAAATGGCCGCCCTTCCCGTTCTTGTCCCTGGGACACGAATGTGCTGTCTCACTTCCGGAGGCGGCCCAGGGAGGCCGGCCGCCCTGCAGGGCCTTGTCTGCTCCCGGTTGGTGCCCCCAGACCCTGAGGGGACAGGGCTGGGGCCTGATGGGAAAGCCGGTGGCCACTGTGTGTGTGTGTGTGTGTGTGTGTGTGTGTGTGCGTGTGCGCGCGCCCCCGCGCGCGCCTGTATGTATGCGAGGGGTCGGGGAACAGAGCAGGACATCTCTTAACACCTGTCTGCCAGTGACGGGCGCCACCATATGTGGGTGCCAGGGTCCCACCAGTGTTTGGGATCTTCACTGCCACTGTCTTTTCTGTTTCTGCCTGATGATGACAGCATGGCCCCATTCTAATTACATGTACCACTTGTGAGATCCTTACCACGGCATTATCTCTGCTTTGTGGATGGGGAAAGGGAGGCCCAGAGGGGTTGAGTGGCTTTCTAGGAGTCACCCAGCTAGGATGCTACAGAACCAGGGTTCAGAGCTGCCCAGACTGGCTCCAGAGTTGGGGTCTCCTGGCCAAAGGGCTCTTATCATTAAGGAGAGCTCCGTTTACGACACGCAGGCTGGCGTCATGGGCTTGTGATCATGCAGTTCACGGGGTCTCCCCTGCTCGGAAGGACCTGAGCTTGGGTTAATGCTCTTCTGTCAGCGTCTTGAAATTCGCAAGTTGTGAAGAAGGGACCCCCCAATTTCATTTTGCACTGAGCACTGACAGTCGTGTAAGGCGGTCCTGGTGCCGGGTGCTTGTGAATGACATACGCTCTTGGTGAAACCTCCCTGTGCTGTGCGGTTGAGGCCCTGGGCTGTTTTACAGATGGGGAAACTGAGGCTTGGAGGGCATTTGGGAAACTGCAGAGTGGAGATTTGCACCTTGGGCCTGCGTCCGGTGCTCTGGGGATGTGTGTGCCCACGGGAAGAGCTGGGTACCCGCTGTCGGCATCCGCTCTGATGGGGTGCAGGCTAAGGCTTGGCCACTGAGGAGACGGGGCCACGGGAGGGGGGAGAGGCCCTGGTGGTTTCCTCCTGCCCTTCAGGCTTCTAGGAAGTGGCGCCAGCTGGGGTGAGATCACTTCCTCACCCGCCTGCCCGCCACCCCATCGACTTCCTCTCCTCATGGCCCCGTTTAGCCTGCCCGGGGCTTACTGGGGGGGGGGGGGCGGGAAAAGGGGGGGAACCTGGCTCTGGAAGTCCCTGCAGCCCTCTTAGCTCAGAGGGATCCTTGGAGCATCTCTACCTCTCCGGGCCTGGGCCTGAGCGTGTGGCTGCGGTGGGGGCGTCCAGCCTGGTGGTCCAGCATTGCCTTCAGCCACCGCCATGTGTGGGGAGAGGGCTTCCCTACCAGGCCTCAGCGGGGACGTGGAGCACAGATGTCTTCAAATCTCATTTACCTCCTTTGCTCTCTCTCCCCCCCCACCCTCAGGTGCCAACCTCCGGTCCCACCCGGTGCCCCCCAACCCCTGTGCCATGGCCGGCTGGGGTTCCTGGGGATGGGATTTGCTGCCTGTCACAAATCACATTGCCAGGGATTTCCAACCGACCCTGAGCCCTGCCTCTGGGGCTGCCGCCACCGCCTTCGCTGCTGAGGACGCTGCCCGGGGATAGGGCCGGGGATGGGAGGCCGAGAGGCCCCCCCGCCCCCTGCTGCCTGCGTCTGGCCTGGGGAGCAGGGCTTAGCTGCTTGTGAGCAGAGTCCACACCAAGTCGTGTTCACAGTGGCTAAGTTCCGCCCCCCGGGACCCCGCCTCCTCTGGCCCTGCCGCCTGCCTGTCCCACTGTCCGGGCCTCCCTGGGCTCTGCCTCCCGTGCCTACTGAGCTGAAACACAGTTGATTTGTGCAGACTGGCTCAGTTCAGCAGGAACAGGAGTCGAGCCCCCTCGAAGCCTGTGCAGCCTGCCTTCCTCGGGTGGGCTGATTCCTAGGGGAAGAGCTGAGGACCCAGACCCAGACCTGTGTTGGGCGGAGGGACTTGGGGGAGGGGCAATATAGCCTGGAATGGGGTGGGTGGACCCAGCTGTCTGCTGTAGGCGCCCTCCTCCAACTCTGTACTTGGGGGTCCTGCCCCCTGCACAGTCCTACTTCCGGCTGAGGCTGGGCAGAACTCCTAGGGAGAATGGGCAGGTGGGTGGGTGGCCCTCCCACTAGAAAGGGAAGCCATCTGGGTCCCTATCCCCTCCCAGTAACCCTCCCAGCCTGGAGCCTTGGCCTTTTCTCTCCCAGGCCTGGTGGGACGTGGGCCAGGCCTGTACCTTCCCAGCAGCCAGTTACTCAAGAGGAAGCTGCCCTGGGCCCCCAGACCGTTAAATGCCAACTCCGGCTTCCGGAACCAGGCTGGCCTGACCTGAGTGTGCCTGGCCTCTTCTCCCTGAACCCTGCAGCGTCCTAACTTTGGGGGTGTGGGGAGAGCTGTGACACTCTCCGGGCACGTGGAGCAGGGAGCAAGGTCCCTTGTGGGCCCAGAAAGGACACAGGTGGGCCTGTTGAGTCCGCCGGTGGCCCTGCAGTGCACCTGCTACTACAAGACCTGAGACTGTCCAGTATCAGATGGGATGGACTCTGAGTGCGACCAGGCAGAGAGAAGCCCCCTAGGCTGTCAGGGCTGGCCCAGGGTACCCTTTCACCCAGGGATAGGGGCATACTTCAGCTCGGGGCAGGGTCTGTGCTGTGTGTTGCTGCTGTCCAATTGAATAAAACCTGCCTCCTACCTCATTCCTGAAGGTCTGGTAGTTTGTGATTTACTCGCTTCCTCCTGTCGCTGGAGTTTTGGCTTTTCAGGTGGGAAGGACCGATGGGCTTGAATTTACTGTCCCTGCACCCTGAGCTCCTGACTTCCCAGGATCCCTATGCCTGTCCCACCTGTTGTGAGGAAGGTCGCAAGTTCAGTCCCACAGGGCAGAGAAAGCTGGAAAGGTGACCTTGAGGGATGTCCTAGGATGGGGGCGGGGGGGAGGGGTGACTCTCAGGGAGGGCTGATGCAATGGCAGGGAGAGCTGTTCTAGGAAGAATCTAGATGGGGTCATAATGAGGAGTACCCCAAGCCCAGGGCCTATTGAACCCAACCTTAGGTGGCAGTGGGGGGTGACCCCGAGGGAAACGCTGGGCATTCAGAGATGGCTGGGGCCCGAGGGTCTTGAGCTGGTGATATTTGGGGGTGGCGGAGAGATAAGGGAGAATTCAGGCCTCAGGTTAGACTTGACCTGCTGGTGTCCGAGAATGCTGGCAGGGAACTCGTGCTTGAGGTGTGCGTGTGTTACGAGGGAATCCTCGGGCCCAAGGGGGACATTTTTGGATGACTTTGAGAGCTGAGGGGCCTAAGAAGGGAGCCCCAAGTCCGAGGACGGCATTTGTAGGCAGCTGAGACTGTAAGGGGTGAAGCAAATGCTCGGCACCGAGCCTGCCCCCTCTACCCTCAATCACGCCTCTAGGCGGCGCAAAAGAACACGCCGGCACATACCTGCGGGAACGGGGGAGGCGGGGCAGATGGGACCGTCTCCAATGGGCCCTCTCGGGCAGAGGCAGTGCCACGAACCAATCGCTGTGCCCAGCGCTGCCGATGCCCCGCCCACGACCGCGCGCGCTGTCTCGGCGCCCTCTGGCGGTCAGCTCCACCCAGCACTGCTCTGAACCCCTCCTGGCCGCGAAGCCCGTCCTCGCTTGCCCCGGTCCTGACAGTGACCCAGACACACTTGTTCATCTATCCGCCACACCCTAAAGACGGGGGGGGGGGGGGGGGGGGGGGGGGGGCGTCCTGCTTCTCAGGGAACTAGGGAAAGAAGGCAACCGAAGGCCTTCTTTGCGGCCCCCCAGACGGCTCACTCCATTTGGGGACTGGAAGCCTCCACGGCGGCGTAGGAATCCAGACACGCCCGGGCCGCACCCCTCGCTGACCACACCCACCTGCTTTTCTCGCCGACGCCAGAACCCGCCCACCAAGGACGAGTCAAGGAGGCCCGGGATTCCTGTCTTGTGTGTGTCTCCCCCACCCAGGTGCATCCAGCACCTGTCAGGGTCCCCGCTTTCAGCAACTTGGAGACAAGTACCTCCAACATTGGTGTCTGGAGGCAGGGCACCCCCTAGTGGCCATTCCCAGCAGTTCAAGGGCCATGGTGTCCAAGGTGGGCAGGGTCAGTGGCTTCACCATGGTACTGATCAGGCTCTGCCTTTCCTTACGCTTTGGAACCCCACTATTCTCGGAAATGATATTCTTCCCGACTCGTAGGGCCACTGTGACACGTGTTGTGACAGGTATAAAGCTCTCCTCTTGGGGCTTGCCCAGCTCTCAGCCCTATTATCTACACTACTGCAAACGGATGAAACCAGCAAGCACTCCCATTCCACCCCTCGCTTGAAGCTGTGCCGGGAGCAGCCAAGGCTGGAGTTTTTCTGTCCAGGGATCAGGTGGTCCTGGTTCGGGGCGG